GACCCTGTGGGGGAAGGGGGTCTACCGGGGGGGGGACTGGTACCAGGAAGAGGGGTGCAAGGGGGACCGGGTGGGACGCGTGCGGGTGAAGTCGGTAGTAACAGACCGACTCGTCAAAGGTGACGTCCTGAGAGGACAGAACACGACGCGAGGCAGGGTGGTAGAACTGCCAGGGTGGAGCGTCGGTGGGGAAGCCCAGGAAGACACAGCGGAGAGTGCGAGGAGAGAGCTTGCTCACTTTGGTATCGCGAACAAGGGAGAGCGCGCCCCAGACCCGAAACGACGACACATCACCAGGCTGTCCCGTCCAACGAAGTGTGGGCGAGGTCTTTGGAGCAGAGACACGGGGCCAGAGGTTGAGCTGATGCGCGGCGTATCGGACCGCAAACGGCCACAGAAAATGGGGAGCAGCCGCATGGATCATGGAGGTACGAGCAACCTCCATGATCAGGCCAATGCGACGCTCAGCGATCCCATTTTGCTGCAGAGAGGCCGGAAGCGTGAACGACTGGGCGATGCCCTCATCCTGGCAGAACGTCTCAAGGACGCCAGAAGAGAACTCACCACCCCTGTCAGAGTGCAGACGCAGGACTGGGAAGTCCCGCTGAAAGCGCTCGTGTAGCTGGAGACGAGTAGCACGGATCCAGGGGATCAAAACACCGCTGACGTCCGCCTTGCGATGCAAGGGGAAGACTGTGGTGTAGCGTGTGTAGTCGTCAACAACAAGCAGGAAGTAGCGCTCCTGGTCCGTCCCACCGACGGGGGCCGGGCCCCACACGTCCAGGTGGAGAGTCTGCAGAGGAGCAGTGGTCGGAGGAAACTCGGAGGAGTGAGGAGCGGCGCGCTGCCGCCCCTCGACGCAAGGAAGGCACGGCGGCGCAAGTGAGCGCGGGAGGGGGGGCAGGGTTTCAGGGAGGCCAGAGACCAGGAGCCGGGAGTGCATGCCGCGCAGACGCTGCAGGGAGGGGTGACCAAGACGGTGGTGCCAGCGCTGAGTCTCGTGCGTGAGTACTCTGCACGAGCAAGACGCAGCTAACTGCCCTGACGCAGACGCTCGACTCGACGCAGCTACCTGACCTGACTCAGCCACCTGTGCAGACGCAGTGGTCAGTGTGTACAGACTAGACCGAGGCTGTCGAGTGAACGTAGCCAGGTGACGGCCAGTCCGAGAGCACGTACAGATCGCCACACGCTGCCCTCTAGGAATAAAGGTATCAACCTAGACATCCTGAATGGCAGCGTTGCTCACCAAGTTCGTCGAGAACGTGGGGAGGTGGAGACCTGACAAAGAGACAGAGGGGACTGCTGGACAAGGGAGGACCGTGGAGGCTCTCGCAACCACTGGGCCCCCAGAGGGGTCAGCCAGTGAGACTGGGACAGGTGATGTGAGTGGTGTGACTGTGGTGCAATCACGGAAGAAGCAACGTGACGCGCCTGAGTCAAGCGTGAAAGTGTGCAAGACCTCAGCTGAGGCAGGACCTGTGGTAGTAGACGCACTAGCACCTAGAGCGTCGGTAGACTCACGGGCACCTAGAGCTGCAGCAGACTCACTAGCACCTGGAGCGGCAGCAGACTCACTAGCACCTGGAGTGGCAGCAGACTCACTAACACCTGGAGTGGCAGCCGACTCACTAACACCAAGAGCAGCGGTCCTAACAGAACGATAACCTCCACCACCAGGACGACCTCGCTGAATAACCCACTCACGAAGCTGCCTAGGGGTGGGGTCGTCCGGGAGAAGCAGTGCCCGCTGCTGTCCACCCCTGGCCGTAGCAACTGCCGCGGAAGTGGCCATGACAGACAGTGACTGTCAGGAGTAGGTCCAGCACCTCCAGCTTCTACAGCGCCAGCAGCACCTCCTGCACTCCCAGCAGCACCTCCTCCACTCCCAGTAGCACGAGTAGCAGCAGCAGCAGTAGTAACAGCAGCAGGGCGGTTCGGTGGGGCTGGGAGGACGCACCTCCACCACTCCCAGCAGTACTCCCTCCAGCAGCAGCAGTAGCAGGGCGGCTCGGGCAGCAGCAGCAGACCGAGCAGCAGCAGCAACAGCAGTAGACCGAGTAGCACTAGCTGTAGCAGCAACAGCAGTGACAGCTCAGGTTGGGCGGCGCGGCTCGGGCTCAGTGGCGGAGCAGCAGCGGCAAGCAGCAGCAGCAGCCGGCGCTCAGTAGCAGCAGCAGCAGCAGCAAGGAGGAGCAGCTGCAGCAAGTAGCAGCAACAGCAGCAAGGAGGAGCAGCTGCAGCAAGTAGCAGCAGCAGCAAGGAGGAGCAGCTGCAGCAAGTAGCAGCAGCAGCAGCAAGGAGGAGCAGCTGCAGCAAGTAGCAGCAGCAGCAGCAGCAAGGAGGAGCAGCTGCAGCAAGTAGTAGCAGCAGCAGCAAGGAGGAGCAGCCGCAGCAAGTAGCAGCAGCAGCAGCAGCAGCAAGGAGGAGCAGCTGCAGCAAGTAGCAGCAGCAGTAGCAGGGCAGTGCAGGCGGCAGCAGCACTGCAGCAGCAGTTCAGGCGTAGCAGCGAAGCAGCAGCGTGAGTGCAGCAGTAACACGGGCCGCGTGCGGGCCAGGCATGGGCTGTAAGGGCTGTGTGCGGGCCTGGCGCGGGCTGTACGAGCTGCGTGCGGGCCTGGCGCGGGCTGTACGAGCTGCGTGCGGGCCTGGCGCGGGCTGTACGGGCTGCGTGCGGGCCTGACGTGGGCTGTACGGGCTGCGCGACGGCCTGGCGCGGGCTGTACGGGCTTCGCGACGGGCCTACGCGGGCTGTACGGGCTTCGCGACGGGCCTACGCGGGCTGTACTGGCTGCGCGCGGGCCTGGCGTGGGCTGTACGGGCTGCGCGACGGCTTGGCGCGGGCTGTACGGGCTGTGCTCGGGCCTACGCGGATTGTACGGGCTGCGCACGGCAGAAAAGGGCAGGGCAGCGACTAACGGTCAGGCAGGTGAAAACGAATGTGGTGGGCCCTTAATTACGGTCCTAGGCTAGGAACGTCCTAGCTCTTAATACCATGTTAGAATACTAGGAAGGAATGTCTGTATTAGGTAAGGGGGGGGGGGTACAAGGATGTCGAGAGAGTTGGGTTGTACCCTCTAAGGTGTGACCCCTACACAACAATGTGATTTGACAGTGCGAAATGCGCCATTTTTCTTCGTCCCGTCGCGCCCTGCGCCCGTCGCGCTCGTCGCCCTGCTCTCTGCCCGTTCTGCCCGTCGCGTCCCCCGCGTCGCCCCGAGCTGTTTCGTTGCCACGAGGCCCGCACGTCGCCCCGAGCCCTTTCGTCGACCCGCGGCCCGCACGTCGCCCTCGCGGACGCCAACGCCAGGCGCCAGCGCGAGCGCCAGAGCCCGACGTGGACGCCAGCGCCAGCGCGGAGCGCAAGCGCCAGCGCCAACGCCAACGCATGCGCCCAGCGCCAGCGCCAACGCCAGCGCCAGGCGCCAGCGCCCGTCGTCAGTGGGGACGCCAGCGCCAGGCGCCTTCACGAGCGCCAGCAGCGGCTCACGCCGCCCCCCCTGCCCTCCCTTCCGCGGCTTCCGCCGTGGGGAGGGGGGGGGGGGGGATGTGGGGGTGGCAGGTGTGAGCAGCCAGCAACCCGTCCCTCCCTTGCCTCTACTTCTCTCCCTGCAGCACTTGTTGCTGTGGGGGGGGGGGGGGGGGAAGAGAGAGGTTAAGGGGGGATGAGAGAGGTTAAGGGGGGATGAAAGAGAGAGAGAGAGAGGTTCGCATTTTCTGGTTTCCTTGTCTATTCTCTATCCGTCGTATCTGGGCGCCGTCGTTCCTCGTCGCGCGCACACACCGGGCATCCACTGCGGGGGTTAAACCACAGGCGAGCATTCCACCGTACCCGGCGGTGGGCCCAGCTGCGGCACGGTGTTGCTTGCCCTTCGAGATGAGCCCCTTCACTGGCTACACTGGCATGCAATTAAGGGGGGATGTCAGAATGTAATATTCTTATATAATTGCATGTTTAGTTAGTTTGTGTAGTATCACCTATCTTGGCTTAGATGGTCTACCTCCCTTCACCGCCACCCTCGTTTCCTATAAGTTGTATTGCATTCTATAGTGCAATCCCTCTCCTTTGGCCACCTCTGTCTTCCTAAACCCTAGCTTCTTAGCTACTATTCTAACAGATATGTGGACTTGAAAGTCGTTTAGAGGGAAATAATCAGTGTTAGTTACAAGTGGTAACTTACAACACAACCTGCAACAACGCGTAAGCTACACTAACAAAAGAATTGTGGCATTTTGGCCACCTTCCTATGAAAAAATAACAATATCATGTCAATTGTGCCACATCACCATGCTCCGTGCTCCCCCCCATGTCCCACAACCCTTCCACTGGAGTAATACAAAAGGACAGAGCCCTTTATGAGCCCTCCATGCGCTTTATTCAACGCCAGCAACTGCGCTCCACTGGTCACCGTTATTGATGTTGCCGTTGCCACGCCAAGCTGGGTGAAGAACAAGATGGTTGCTTATGTCAAGCACCCACCATGCCTTGGAGGTGTGAAACTAGAAATGGTGCTCCCTCCCCACAGCCTTCCTCCCTCCCACTTCAACCCCAGTTGCTCCCTTCTTCCCTCTTCCCGTATCAGAATCAGTGGTGTTTTGCCACCCTCTCCCCTACTCCCGTGTCAGAATCAATGGTGTTTTGCCCCCCTCTCCCCGACTCCCGTGTCAGAATCAGTGGTGCCCAGAGTCAGGCTGAGGGTTAGTGCCAAGCCTGGTGAATGTTACAATGCCCAACAATCATCACAATTGGAGCGCTTCAGGGTTCGCGGCTGTTGCACCTCACCGAGTCTACCACGCCTTGCTGCTGCTTCTGCTGCTGCTGCTGCTGCTTCTGCTGCTTCTGCTGCTTCTGCTGCTGCTTTAAAAAATGCTCAAGCATCGACTTCAAAAAGGCAGTTGCACACCAAATGAGACCGCCACGTCTGCTTGCTGCTGCTGCTCCACTCTACTAGTCCTGCCGTACCCTCTACTGGACGACTCGTTACAGAGAGTTTTTACTCCTAAGAGCTGTCAAAGTCATCAATGTCGTCGAGATTAATCACCACAGGCGAGGATGGGCGCACGGCACGGGAAGCCGAAGCAAGCGGTGAAGGAAAGGGTGCAAGTGAAGCTGACACTAGGGGTGAAGCTGGCTTGAGGGCAGGTGGGGGATCCCGAACATCAGGTGAAAAGTCAGGTGACTTGGGGAGTGTGAAGGCATGATCCCTCTCAGTCAGGTCAATCAGGTTCACTGCTGCAGCTGGTGTAAACACTCCTCCGGCTGCTACTCCTGCTGCTGATTTTCCTGGTGACATCATATAACCTCCACCCCTCTCACTGGCTGCGTCATGCCTTGGCCTACCAGGAGATGACTTCTGAGTCGGCTCAAAAGTGCTATATCTTGGACTAAAAGCAGCAGTAGCTGCAGTAGCAGCAGCAGTAGCAGCAGTTGCAGTAACAGCAGTAGCAGGCGCAGCAGCAGAATTCCAAATGTTGGTGTCAACACATGCTTCACCACCAGCAGCATACACGCCAGTACTGCCAGGAATCCTCATGACCGGCTTAACAATTGGTGCACTGTGGTTTGCAGGTCTTGTGTGCGGTCCAGTGCAGTTCACCACGCTGGTTGATCGGTGCCGTCCCACTGCTGGCATTAACTGTGCTTCTCCCTTGCCTGTTAGCACTGCTGTCCCTGCTGCCGGAGCAGGAGCAGGAGCAGCGGGAGGAAGAGGAGGAGGGCGACCAGGAGGAGGAGGAGCACGAGCAGGAGCCGGAGCAGGAGCAGCTGCAACGGAGAATTGACCGGTGCAAGCTCCAGCAGTGGTGGTGGGTGGAGCAGACACGGGGGTGTGTGTGGGCGAGGAGGGAGGAAAGAGACCAGGAGTGATGGCTCTTAGAGAAGGATTAGAAACAGCCACCGTAGGAGGATGAGCGGAGTGGGAGGATGGGGAAAGCTGGGCGAAAACGTGAGAACGGTTGGAGGGAGGAATGGTGTGAGGAGAATGGGCTGAGATAGAGGCTGGAGTCTGTTGATACGGCTGCTGATATGGTTCATGGGGTTGCTGATGCTGCTGCCTTTGCTGCACATGCTGAGGCTGATTCTCCCTTGACTCCTGTTGTTGCTGTTGCTGCTGCTGCTGCTGCTGCTGCTGCTGCTGCTGCTCTTGTTGCTGCTGTGGCTGCGACTGCTGCTGTTGAGACCATTCTGTGTGGATACCAGTCGGCTCACAATGCTCCTGCTGCTGCTCAGGAGGCTGATCTGTGAACCGCCTTCGTTGCCGTGAATCACGGATCCCTTTGATCTCCTCTCTTTGACCAGCGTTGACCCTCTTTCCTTGACCCGGGTTGACTCCTTCCCAGTCAGCAGCACCCGCCCACACCCCGTGACCAGCATACACCGCACCTGGACTCACACTGGCAGAGAAGCCTGGGCTGACAGCATCCAGAGTGGATTCGGTGGATGGTTGACGAGTGATAGGGGGGTGAGCAGAAGCAGAAGCAGGAGCAGGAGCAGGAGCAGGAGCAGGAGCAGGAGCAGGAGCAGGAGCAGGAGCAGGAGCAGGAGCAGGAGCAGGAGCAGGAGCAGGAGCAGGAGGAGGAGCAGGAGGAGGAGGAGGAGGAGCAGGGGGAGGAACAGCGGGAGGAAGAGGAGAAGGGCGACCAGGAGGAGGAGGAGCACGAGCAGGACGAGGTGGGGGAGCGGGAGCAGGAGCAGGAGCAGGAGCAGGAACAGGAGCAGGAGCAGGAGCTCCAAGGGCAGCAGCGACGGCAGCAGCAGCAGCAGCGGCAATAGCTGGGACAGGAGCGGGAGCAGGAACATGACCCCAGGGAGGAAGGACAGCAAGAGCAGCAGGAGGAGGGGCAGAAGCACGAGCACGAGCAGCAGCTGCAGCCAAAGCACGAGCAGCAGGAGAAAGAGCAGGAGCAGGAGCAGGAGCACGAAGAGCAGCACGAGAAAGAGCACGAGCAATAGAACGAGCGCGAGCACGAGCGCGAGTACGAGCACGAGCACGAGGACGAGCATTAGCACGACGACGAGCAGGATGAGGTGGAGGACGAGCAGGAGGAGGAGCAGGAGGAGGAGCAGGAGCAGGAGCAGGAGAAGGAGCAGGAGAAGGCGCAGGAGCAAGAGCAGGAGCAGCCGCAGGCGCAGGAGCAGGAGCAGGAGCAGGAGCAGGAGCAGGAGCAGGAGCAGGAGCAGGAGCAGGAGCAGGAGCAGGAGCAGGAGCAGGAGCAGGAGCAGGAGCAGGAGCAGGAGCAGGAGAAGGAGCAGGAGCAGGCGCAGGAGCAGGACCAGGGGCAGGAGCAGGAGCAGGGGCAGGAGCAGGAGCTCCAAGGGCAGCAGCAACGGCAGCAACGGCAGCAGCAGCAGCAGCGGCGGTAAGAGCTGGGACATGATTAGTTGCGCCATTTAGGGTGGAGGCACGAGGAGGGGCAGCAACACCAGCAGCAGTAGCAACACCAGCAGTAGTGGCTAAGTTTCTGAATACATTCTGAGACAGGAAGGTGTGAGAAGCAGTGGGAGTAGCAGCAGAAGAACCTGCTGCATTAGCAGGAATGAGGGTTCGAGCAGCAGTAGCAACAGCAACAGCAGGAGCGGCAAAGGCACGATTAGCAGCAGCAGCAGCAGAAGAAGAAGCAGCAGCAGCGGTGGTGGCAGCAGCAGCAGCAGCAGCAGCTGGGGCAGGGGTGCTGGCGGCAGCAGCAGCAGCAGTAGTTGCAATATCCCGAGTCACACTAACAGGAACGGAGGTATGAGGAGCAAGAAGAGCAGCCACGGCAGTTGCAGTGTCACACGAGGGAGCAGGTCGAGCAGCAGCAGCAGCACCACCACCACCAACAGCACCAGCAGCACCACCACCACCAACAACACCAGCAGCAGCACCACCACCAACAGCACCAGCAGCACCACCACCAACAACACCAGCAGCAGCACCACCACCAACAGCACCAGCAGCAGCACCACCGGCAGCACCACCACCACCGGCAGCAGCAGCAGCAGCACCACCACCAACAGCACCAACAGCAGCACCACCGGCAGCAGCAGGTACATTGTTACGAGTCACACGAAGAGGACAGGGAGCATGGGGAGGTGCGGCAGCAGCACCAGCCACAGCAACACCAGCAGCAGCAACACCAGCAGCAGCAGCAGCAGGGACATTGTTACGAGTCACACGAAGAAATGCGGGATCATGCGGAGCAGCAGCAGCAGCAGCAGCAGGAGCAGCACCAGAAGCAGCAGCCACGACATTGTTACGAGTTACACCAAAACGAGAGGGACCACGAGGGGCTGGTGCAGCAGCAGCACCAGCAGCATCAGCAACAGCAGCAGCCGTTGCAGTGTTACGCGTTACACCAGGGGGAGTGGCGCTCGGGACACGAACAGCAGGTTTTGCAGGCGAAGAGGCGGCGAGGACAGCGTCAGCAGAGAGGAACCACTCGTGACCACACGTTGCACACTCCAGCTGAGAGAGACAAGGGAGGAAGTACAAACAATTAGTGTAAGGAAAAAAATGCATCAGCAGAGAGGAGCCACTTGGGACCACACGTTGCACACTCCGGCTATGAAGAAGAAGGGAGAAACAAATCGAGTTGACATCATATCAGTGGCAGCAGAGTCCAACCACTAATGACGGAATCGTTGTTGAGAACTCGAAAAAAAAAAAAAAAAAAAAAAAAAAAAAAACACACACACACACACACACACACACACATCTTGTTGACCACTAATGACAAACCAGCATGCCCTCCCGATGCAGCAGTAGCGGAAGGGAGAAGGTAGGGGCGGACTCACCTTGTACTGCTGCCCCTTGGGGCTGTTGAGGATATCCAGAATCTTCACCTGCCGGTCCCCCCGCAAGCTGCACTGGGAGCACCGTATCCCCACCCACTGCAAACACTCGCTGCGCCTGGGCCTGGCAACAGGCGGAGCAATCAGTGCCTTCTCCCGCCTCGTCAGACCGTCCTGGGGAAAGAGGGAAGGAGGAGGGGGGGAAGGGTTGAGTGGATGGTGTGGGGACGTGGTGCATGGAGTGGGGAAGAGAGGGCACACAGAGTAAGGAAGAGAACCATTGAAAATGAACACATTCAGGGAAAGGGCGACTGAGGAGATGCTGGCTGAGGGAAGTGGGGCGCGTTGACATTCCCTAGTGACATGGAGGGCAAGGCTTGAAGGCACGAGTTTAAGTTTGAGGCGTCTCAAGAACAGATGCTCGCTGTTGGAAGTGGGACGAAGGAGACAATTACCTTGAGCTCCTCTGGTGACATGGAGAGCACGACTGATGGCGAGAGCTCGCCCAAAACGAAGCGACGCGAAAGGCAGTTCCCACTCTGTAGGCGTGCATGGATAGAGGTGGCAGATGCAAGGCGTGCGATTGTGGGGAAAGAACGTCATGGTGGAGGAAGCACGACGCCAGCACAAAGTGAACAGCTCGAAAGAAAGCTAGGAAATGGAATCAACAAAAGAGCAACAGAAGGCAACAGACTAGACTCAGCTCGAAAATTGCTTGCACGAACCAGAGCTTGGAAATATTCATGGACTTTTTCCCAGCAATCAAATATATCCTCTCAAAACTCCTCACCTTGAGATTTGCTCGCACGGATCTGAGCTTAACGGTATACCTGGACCCCACGCCATCCCCCAGCTTCTCATTCGCGAGCTCCTCCAAATCAGCCACCGCTTTCGCCGCCTTCATCTCCCACTCGCGCTGCTTCTCGTGGATGCATGACTCTGGTGCCGCAGCAGAGGCACTGTCTGTGGGAACTGCAGAAGCAGAGGAACAGACTGCAGGAACTGAAGCAGCAGCAGCAGCAGCAGCAGCAGCATTGGATCCGCTAACAGCAGCAGCAGTGGAGGGGGCGTTTGCAGGAATCCAAGAAGCCACAGAGGCCCTGGGTGAGGCGCACGGAGAGGAGGTTGCGGAGAGAAGCGCGGAGAGCAGCAACTCTAGCATGTGGTCCCGCTTGGGGATGCCAGTGCAGCAGCCAGCGCGCTCCAGGATCTCTGCTGCTGTAGAGCTCCGAGGCTGCGACCCTGCTGCTGCTCCTCCTGGTGGTGCTGCTCCTGTTGCTACTGCTGTTGCTACTCCTGCTGCTGTTCCTCTTGCTACTCCTGGTGCTGCTCCTGCAGCTGGTCCTGCTGCAGACACGTGTTTATTGTTCCCGGCAACGGATGGACCAGAGCCAGCAGCAGGAGCACGCAAGGTATCACCATTTGTGCCAGCCGCAGCAGAAGCAGCAGCAGTCCTACGTGGTGCACTGCTTGTCGCCATACACCGCTTTCCACTGTGTGATCTAGCAAGAGCCTTCCCTCCCACCTGCGACTTCTCTCGCTCCATCTCCTCGCTTACCTTCTCTCCAGATTTTTCTCTACCCTTCTCTCTACCCTTCTCGCTGCTTCTTTCACTTTCCCTCCCGCCCGCTTTCTTCCCCTGCGTGTCACGCGCCTTCTTCCCGACATTCTCTGTCCTTTCAGCAAATGGAGAGCGACCAAGGGCAACAGCACCATTCCTCTCGTCATCCTTCCTAACCTCCCTACCTCTCCCAAGCGAGGCCGACCTCTTCACTGCTCCCCTTTGTGCCGCAACCGTCCTTGCCTCTCCATGCATTTCCTCCACCGACTCCCTACTCTGCTGCTTCGTGGTTGCTGCATCCGCACCACCACCTTCATCCAACCCTTCATCCCTGCTTCGTCGGTTCCACAGGTAGTCTCCTGGATAAACACCATGTGTATTCCGTAGCCTGCTATTGTCTTCGTCCAGCTCCCCACCACCCATATCATCTTCACTCTCCTGCACCTCCTGCACCTCCGGTTGCTCCTCCTCATCATCACTTACCAATCGCTGCTTCATCTTCCTCAAACGCTTAAAACATATGCCGGAATCATCCTTCACCTTTGCTGGGTTAGCTCTCGGGACAACCTCTGAATCATGCATGGAAACAGCCGGGTCACGCTGTAACGGATCATTCTGCTTGGCGACTTTTCTTCTCTTCGCCTTCTCGTTGTTGACCCTCGCTCCTATTGGAACATCATCATCGGAAGTATCCACATCAGCTTTCCGCCTCCTTTTTGCCGAATGACCCATCCTTGAATGAAGTGGCTCATTTTCACAACTCTCGTCTTCAGATTCCGATCCCTCTCCAGACCTTTCCGCCCTGACACGCTTACTCCGGGACAAATCCGTCAACTTTACAGCATTTTCTTTCCGCTCCATCTTCAGTCTTATTCTAGTTCCCTGCAGTGCCGCTTCAACCTCCTTCCATTCTTCCCGATCCATCCTACTCCGGTCATCAACGGCCACGATCCGTCCATCCATATGGCGATAGACGAAGTGCACCACAAATCCCCCAGCATCTTCCTCGTTAGGAAAGCCCTTGGCTCGAGGAAGCGTATGAATGGTGCATTTACCAGCAATCGCTTCAGCGTCGAACGGATCCGTGTGAAAAGAGTAAAAGAGGAGCCGACGATCCGCGAGCTCTTGTTCGTTGTAAGGCAGTGATGAGCATGAGGATTTGCTGAAACCATGAAACTTCCGCCTGTCATCTGAAATCTCCTGAAGGGAGTACATCCACTGACCGACGATTTCTACTGGAGCCAGAGCACCGGCTCTGACTTGCTGGCGTATTTCCTGCAGGGTACCATGAAACCAGTATCAGAAATCTATAAGAAGTACTAATAGTATGGAAGAGACTACATTCTTATTAAACAATGAATGACATTGCTTGCGACTGAATTTAACGGGGCTCTTACCCGAATGATGCAAATGAATGGCACAGGTTCGTCGTTGATAACTGGCTCTTCATGGCTGTCGCTAACCGTCTTGCTTAAGCTCTCATCAGACCACACCAAGACAGGGTCTCCCTGAAAAACAACCGAAGACAGCAGGATGGCAAGAAATAATTAAAAAAGGTTCAGACAAGCGGGTATGATCATACCGCATGCAACGGTATTCCAAACCTTTCATGAAAAGCGCGAGCAGCAGGTTAGAATGTTAAGGACGCAACCTGGGATACTATCAGTCAACGCTCGGGTGTAACCTAAGCTGACATAGCTGCACTTATAGACTACGAAAATATAAGCTTACGAGCTTGTATATGTTGCCTTGCCATTTGAGCGCTCCGTACAGCAAATACTCCCGTTTCCCCTCCCGCTCCTTTCGTATCGGCTTCCCTAAAGCTTCAGCACACTCGTCGACATCCATAGGACATGAAATTCTGGATGAACCAAGCGACACAATACACCAGCTACTCTACCCTAACGCAAGATTTCAAAAACTAAACAGAACGCAGGAGAACAATGAATCCTCGGCAACGAACGTCGCACTGAAATGACACGCTGCGCCTGTGAAATATAAATTCAGAGGAAATAGTCTGCTGAGGAAATGGCGTCTGGGGGAGAAAGGAGAACGAACTTATCATCCAAACCGACAGACTCGCCTTACTTGTAGGGCACATCCTGACACCTCCCAGACTTTCTTTTCAGTTTGGCTAGAAAGGGCTCTCTCTCCTCTCTGCCTTACCCTGTCTCTCCTTGAACGTGTTTCTTACGAGTCGGCCTCTCTGGTCTGTTCCTCTAACGGAAGATCATTACGGCACAGTACTGTACCGCACCGCCTCACAAGTTGTCGCGCCGAAGCGAACCCTTTTGGAAGTGGTTGTGCTCTGTGCTTGTTAGTGTGTCTGGGCTGTTCGGGACAATTCGGGGGAAAGTCCGTTCACCAATCAGAAATCAACCGTGGCTCAGACCTTCAAATCCCTGAACTTATCAATAACTGAGATACAACAGCTACAATAGCACTGTTATACTCTGTCTACAAATACATTAAAATTTACAAATTTCTCGACAACCACCACTAAGGCCTGGTTATTAGGTAGGTCTCATGTGCTGGAATTTCGCAAGGCCTCCTGAGCCCAAGAAGGCAATGCACCATGCACCACAATCCGTTCCCCAGTGCTTGGATGTGGAAATTCTAAGCGCTCTGCATGCAAAAGGTGATGCCACCAAACTCTTCCCTCTATAGGCCACTCTGTTGGTCCTCCATACCGGACATCCCCCACGAGCGGAAACCCTGCATATTGGCAATGGAGACGAATCTGGTGGGAGCGTCCCGTGTGGGGGAAGGCTCGGACCAGAGCAGCATCTCGGGCACACAAAGTAGTTGCACAAGATCCTTGAGCTGTTTGCTCGTTTGCTGCATCAGACAGGTACAACTCCGTCCCTTTTAGCACTGAAAGAACCACCAATTTGGTCCGCATGTCCCTTACCCTTGACCCACCAGGGAGCTTCCTCCCAATATCCGTCACATCATACACTCGCCATAGCCCATGTCGTGACCTGCCATGACCTGTTTCGAGAACGAGTTCGTCACCTGCCTTCAAATAACAAGTCCCGCAAGGCACAGAGCCAGAATCCGATGCAGAGGTAGAGGCAGAGGTAGTGGCAGAGGGAGCAGCAGAAGCAGAGGGATTAGCAGAAGCACTCTCAGCACCAACGATCTCTCTGCAAGCATCCCCACTCGGTGCAACAGAAGAAGCTCCTGGTAGAGCACAGAGAGCCAAATACGACTTGTTGACTTCCCTCCTCTCAAACGCCTTCCCTAGCTTGGCAGCTGAAGCTGCGGTCTTGGCCAGCAGCAGCACGCCGCTGGTGTCGCGATCCAATCTGTGCACCAGAAACTGGGTAGAAGCGGGTAACCCCGTGGGTGACAGCGCCGTGCGACTGCCATCTGCAGCTGCCTCGCTGCCGGCGGAACTCGGAACCTGCGATTCTGCTGCAAAACGCTTTCCACCCAAAGCCATGTTTCCATCACCAGGACGTGTGGTTTGCTCAAGAAACTCTTTGAGGACAGGTACACCTGATGACATTTGCGACCCGTCCACGCTTTCCTCGCTTGGTCGATTGGTGTCTGTCGCTCGGTCTCGCATGGCCAGCATGGCACCCACGGCTGATAGGATGTGTTCGCTGTACACCCCTGCCGGTTTCTGCACGGCAATCAGCCAGTCGTCTTCCAACAGAATCATGTCTGGGTCTATGGAGATGCCGGCCGCTGCTGCTGCCTCGGCGGCTTGAGCTCGTTGGGTCTCAATTGAGGAGGATTCGGGAGGAGGCAGCGGGGTCACAGGAGTTGGAAACGAGGAAGTTAATGTCGGGGATGGTGCCTCCGCTAAGACTATCATCGCATTCTTGGTTTCTGCCATGGGTCGTGATGCTCCTGAAGGATCTTGGACACTTTCTGAAGCATGATCGGACGGTGCTGATGCGCAGCAGCTGTTCGTACGAATCGGCTGGTCTATTTGGTAGCTGTGCTCAGGCGTCATGCTCGTAACGAGTACGCCAGATCGAAGCAGTAGCAAGTCCGACTGAAGCTGACGAAATGCACGTGGAAGAAAGTCGAACGACGATGCCAAACGGTTTGGTCGCGTCTCGTTGGGGAACACCCTCAATCGTGCCAGATGGTCAAGAAGCTGTCGTCGTCGTCGGAAAACCGTGAGCATGCTACTTCAAGAAAAGCTCGTCAACGCGAGAATGACATAACGGGGAAATGGAGCGCGTTTGATCAGGAGCCCCTGCTTCATCCAGTTTGAAGCCATTGTCGGAGTAGTTGAGCTAAGGATCGAATGAAAATGTTCGGATTGTGTATTTGGAAGTGCAACCATACTGGCTTCAACATAGAAGAGATTGAAGTGTTCTGTAACACAAATGTTTTTGCTTCGCGAAATACCAGATCGTCGAATCAGTCCACAACGCACGACTTCCTTCGCATTGCGCAACCCCGTGGATCAACGGTCTGTATGCAGCTAGAGGACCTTGTGACGGCTGAGATTCGTCATCGACCGACAAACAGGACAAACACTACGAGTGGGCACATTGACTTGCGAGCAACAGTCGAAGCTGCTGGTTTTGGCTTCTGTTTCGTTTCTGCTGCTTCAGGCGGTCTCTGTTTCTGTTGGGCTCAGCCAGCTCCGCAAGGCTCCAGCTCCATGCAACCCTGACAGTTTCCGTTGGCTGCTGATGCAACCTCGGGATTGCCAAGCTCGAGGAACCTGATGCTCTCTCAAACCGGTCTCCCGAACCATAATTGTAAAATGAACCGCTCTGACAAGCATTGAGCCACTGAAACTGAACTTTTGCTCACCTTGAGAACTCCGCAGAGCAATTCATGCACCGAACTGTCATTTGTTTGCGAGGTTGATAACTGCAGAGTTAGGAATGACCGAGGAATGGAGCATGAAGCGTACGGCATGGCGATAGCTTCTGTTCAGTAAGCTGTCGTAGGAATGACCGAGGGAACCTAAGGACGGAGAGAAATTGACTTGTCGGAAATGCGAGATGGGAGTAGGCGTCAGAAGGTCCAGGACGGATTTCTTACTTTCTGACACTTCACCAGTTCGTGGAGAAAGCTCTGAACTAGTTGTCGTTTAGATGCCGAGCCTGGACGCTTCTAGCACCGAAACAAATGCCCTCCCGCCTGTAGCATATAGAGTTACCTTCCGGCAGCAGTCTGTCCTACCATAGACATCCTAGCCAAAATTCTATCATCCTTAGGAGTTATTGCTTTCATCTTGAAGCGAAATCGTTCTCGAGACGGGAGGTCCAACAACCAAGCCCTGTTTTCTTCATATCATATTAGTATTCATCTAGTTCACACGGCATTCATTCAGTTGCGACGACTCCCATCATGACGCCAAACGCCGTGACTCTAACCGTACAGCATCCGTCTCGTTACAGGCGGTCTCGGTACCTGTTGCCTCTCTTCTGCTGCTGCTCCCTTCTCATCCTTGGCTCACTATCATCTACCAATGCCATCACCTCCTCTTCAACAAATGTTCAGCAGCAGCAGCAGCAGCAGCACCAGCAGCAGAGTGTACCATCACAAACATCAGTACAGCATCAATTGGCAATAGAGCCTCTGGAGCCATTGGAAACATTAGAGCCGTTAGATTCAGTCTCTCAACACCAAGTCTTGAGGGAGCGGGCTCGCGCTTTGCGAGAGAAGCTGGACGCGCAGAGGTTGAGACGGAAATCGTCCAGGGTCGCCGCCAGGCCGACCTTGAGGCAGCTGAAGGTTCGTCTTTTCCTAGGCGGTCATCTCGCTGCTTGCTTCGTCGCGGATGCTACATATCGGTTCGGACCCGTTTTTCTTGGGCCCTTTGGAAATAAGGTTACACCCTTACGGTCCGGCCCTGTTCCTTGTATGTTCTCGGCCCGTCTCCTTCGCTGGAACAACGATATCTCCCCTCATCCTTTTCGTCCGGATGTTTCCACGTCAGCAGGGTCTCCATGACAGAATCCAGAGCGACGATTGGTGCAGAGGGCTCTCGGACGGCCTTCACGCAGACCCCCTGTCCAACCCTTCCTACAGGTAAGTCGGCGTTTCACACCTTTCAGACGTTTCCATCCCCTTTTCGTGACAGTGCGATTCGTCTTCCTCCTTCTCTCATCCCCTCCCTCCTCTCCCCTCCTGCCCTGCACTCCTCTCTCCCCTTCACCCCAACCATGTGCTGCCGCCTCCCAGTGTATACTTCCGCTGCTCCAGCCAAGCTCTCGCCGCTCTGCACCAATGTCCACCGCACACGCTGTTCCTCGAGGCAGGCTTGGAAAACGGCGGGAAGGAGCAGGAGGAGGGGAGCGAAGGCGCGTGCATTTCTGAGAATGAGTTTCTGCGGGTAGCACACCTCAGGAAAGTCGGTGCGAGCTCAGCTGTGGAAGTTCCGGCAGGTTTCCCTGTGGAGGGACAGGGTGACGCGGGCTCCGCGTATCCGTCCGGCGGTCACCGGGCGGTGAGCCGAGCAGTGGGCCTTCTCAAATCAGAACCAGCAGCAGCAGCCGGGGCAGGAGGGGCAGAATCAGCAGGGGGAGCAGGAGGAGGAGGAGAAAGAGGAACAGGAGAGGCTATGGGAGCAATGAGGAGCCAGCTTGAGGTGAACAAGCAGGCAGGAGGAAGCGGAGGTTCATCGCAGGCTGCCCCATCTTCCCCCACGTCCTCCTCCGCTCCCCCCACGGACCCGCAAGCCCTGGCGGAGCTGAACGCGCTGCTGGCCTTCAAGGCGTCCGTCCTCGTCTTCAACGACCTCCTCGCCTCCTGGATCGTTCCCCGCTCTGCCTTCAACGCCCCCTCCGCCTCCTCCGCTTCCTCCCCCGCCTCCCCCGCCTCCTCCGCCTTCCCCGCCCCTTCCACCGCCTCCTCCGCCGCCTCCGCCGCGTCCCCCGCCTCCCCCGACCCCTACAGCTTCCTCTGTGCCTGGCGCTTCGTCACCTGCTCCCCCGCCCGCCCTGGTGGGGCGCGTAGAGTGGTGGAGCTGAGTATGACCAGGTTCGGCCCGGACCTGGACCAGAGGCCCGTGCTGATGCTCACCCGCAGGTCCGTGCTGGAGGGGAGTTGGGACGGTGCAGGTGCGGGGAGTGACGAGGGGAGCACCGGTGACGTGGCTGGTAGCAGCAGCAACAGCAGCAGTGTCAACAGCAGCAGCAGCAGCCCTGATCTTCAGATCTCCCCCACTCTCCCCAGTTCCCCCAGTTTCCCCAGTCTCCCTCTCATCCCCCTGCAGTTCTCCGCCCTCACAGCCCTCACCAACCTCTCTATCGCCAACAATCGTGACTACCGCGAAATGGCTGGGCTCATAGGCGCCTTCCCCTCCCACCTCGCCGCCTGCTCCTCCCTCCAAGTCCTCTCCCTCACAGGCCACAGGCTCCTCGGCCCCCTCCCAGACTCCATCTCTCTCTTCTCCTCCCTCAGGCACTTACAGCTGACGTATAATTTAAAACCTGGGTCTCATATTTCCTAGTGTATTACACTTGGTTGGGCTAAAGCGCCTGTGATTGGGTAACGATAGGCGAGATTTGTGACGAGCAGTTTGGAAAACACAGACGACACCTCAGTTCGTCTACGCAAAAACCAAACGAGCCCCTCAGGCATGGAAAGCTCCCACACCTAAAAAACAGATCCGGCAGTTCCCTGCGACCAACTGAAACGACAAGACGCAATTCGCCCACGTTCACCAGGAAAAGCAGAGCAAAACTCTCACCTGTCAGTCTTAAAACCTCCGCTTAGGATGGCTCCTACGTATGTACCTCCACATCAAGATGCTGGCCTTAGTCGCTAAAACAGGGATATTAGAGACCATTTCGGACCAGATAACAGGGGACTTGCGAACAAATTCTGGTTGCGGATAACGCACTAATTGGCGAGTAAGGAATCGTCCAATGTCGGGAACGGTCGCAACGCCATCGCTTGTTACGAGGTAGCCAGTCCGTAACATTCCGAAATGCGTTCTTACTCTTCTATTTACAGCTGTGGAACCCGGAGAGGTGATGTCGCATTTCAGAATGCGCTCGGGTCGTCCATCTACGACAAGCGCGATTGCGTGAAAGGTCTGTGTGCGAGTGGCATGTGTGTGGGGTGTGTGTGAAAGCTTGTGTGCGTGCAAACGTGCGTGCGTGCGTGCGCAAGCGTGCGCGTGCGTGCATGCGTGCGCTTGCGCGTGCGCGTGCGCGTGCGGCGTGCGTGTGTGCGCGTGTGCGTGCACGTTTGCGTGCGCGTACGCGTGCGTGCGTGCGTGCGTGCGCGCGCGTGCGTGCGTGCGTGCGCGCGCGTGCGTGCGTGCGTGCTTGCGTGCACGTGCGTGAGAGCAAGCGTGCATGCGTGCGTGCGTGCGCGTGCGTGCGTGCGTGCGGGTGTGCACCTGTTTGTATTCTTATCATTCAGTGCATGTGCATAAAAATGCACTAGTCATTTTGCCACACGTCCCTCAGCCTTCACATCCCGGTGCTCACACCTCCCTTTCCCCCAACTGCCATCTGCGCCTCGAGACACAACACACATCCTTCCCTCTCTCCCTTCCCTCTCTCCCTTTCCTCTCTCCCATTCACCCTCTCCCCTTCCCTCTCTCCCCTTCCCTCTCTCCCCTTCCTCTCTCCCCTTCACCCTCTCCCCTTCCCTCTCTCCCCTTCCCTCTCTCCCTTTCCTCTCTCCCCTTCACCCTCTCCCTTTCCCTCTCTCCCCTTCCTCTCCCTGTTAACTCACCCTCACCCCCTCCCCTACCAACTTTCCTAATGTCTGCAGCAAGGCTTGCTTGCCAGCCAGCCCTCGCCACGCGCTCACCCTGCTAGCTTTCCTGCCCGAACTGAGGTGTATGTAAGCAGGGGAAGGTGAGGAGGGTGTGGGTGTGGGCGATGGTGAGAGAGGGGAGGGGGAGTGGGAGTAGGAGGTGGGGAGGTTGAGTGCTGTGTTTAGGGCCATGAGTGTGTAGAGCCCTTTCCTTCTCCATCTGCCCTCCTTTTTTTTCATTTCCCCTACTATGCCTTCCCATCTCCTGTCCCTTCCCTTCTCATCCCCTCCCATTCTTCTCATTTGCCCTCCCTTCCTTCCCATCTTGCATGCCAGCCTCCCTTCCTTGCATCACCCCTACCCTCTTTTGCTCTCCCCGTTCCCCCTTTTTACCACCTTTCTCTTCCTTCACATCTCAACTGCCCTTTTTCTCATCCCTGGAGCCTTCCTTCCTCCCGTCACCTCTCCCTTTGTTCCAGTTACAAGCAGGACCAAGCTAGTCCCAGGCGAGCCTGGCGGAACGGAAGGGACAGGCAAGCAGCAGATGCACGGCCAGATGCACGAAGGCGAGATTGGCGCTAGAGGAGAGATGTACCCCGTATCTTCAAGATATTGCACAAGTGTATACATTCAATAAGTTCTTTAGGTCAGTGCTGTGCTCAATTGCTACAAACTAAATGGATGCATTGAAACCATCTGAGCATCAAGTGTAATATGCTATGAAAGACAAGAGACTAGGCGGGTTTGGCAAGCCTACTTTGCCAACAACTGAGTTTTGAATCTACGCATTAGTCACAAAACTAAGGATGAACTGGTTCTTTGTGGCGACATGCTGGAACAAGCACATCAACAGGGGGGAGAAAGGGGGGAAGCAGAGGGGAGACAAGTGGGAAAACAGAGCTGAGGCATGGGAGGAAAGCGAGGGGAGGCATGGCATGGGGAAAGAAAGGAGGCAGGGAGGAATTGGGGAAGTGATTGCTTGGCGGAATAGTGTGTGAAAGCAGGGGAAAAAGGTGAAAGGGTTGGCGAAGTGTTGGCTTCATGGGAGGAGGTGGTAGCACGGGATGAGAGGTGACAGCAGAGGGGGAAGGGAGGTGGTAGCACGGGATGAGAGGTGACAGCAGAGGGGGAAGGGAGGTGGTAGCACGGGATGAGAGGTGACAGCAGAGGGGGAAGGGAGGTGGTAGCACGGGATGAGAGGTGACAGCAGAGGGGGAAGGGAGGTGGTAGCACGGGATGAGAGGTGACAGCAGAGGGGGAAGGGAGGTGGTAGCACGGGATGAGAGGTGACAGCAGAGGGGGAAGGGAGGTGGTAGCACGGGATGAGAGGTGACAGCAGAGGGGGAAGGGAGGTGGTAGCACGGGATGAGAGGTGACAGCAGAGGGGGAAGGGAGGTGGTAGCAGAAAGAGAAAAGAAGGTGATAGCAGAGGGGGAGGGAAAGGGGGATGGGGGAAGGGAAGGGGGATGGGGGAAGGGAAAGGAGGATGCAGGGAAGGGATGGGGGATGGGTAAAGGGAATGGGGGATGGGGGAAGGGAAAGGAGGGTGTGGGGAAGGGAAAGGGGATGTGGTAAGAGAAGGGGGATGGGGGAAGGGAAGGGGGATGGGGGAAGGGAAGGGGGATAGGGAAAGAGAAGGGGATGGGAAAAGGGTAGGCGGATGGGGAAAGGGAAAGGGGATGCGGGAAGAGAAGGGGGATGGGGAAAGAGAAGGGGGATGGGGAAAGAGAAGGGGGATGGGGAAAGAGAAGGGGGATGGGGGAGGGGAAGGCGGATGGGGTTAGGGAAAGGGGATGTGGGAAGGGAAAGGGGTATGGGGATCGGCGCGTCTCCTACGTTTCCTCCCGCCAGTCCCGTCCCGCTCCGTCGCGTTCCCTCCCGCTCCGTCCCGTCATACATCCCGTCCCATCCCGTCCCATCCCGTCCCGTCATGTCCCGTCCCATCCCGTTCCGTCATGTCCCGTCCCGTCCCGTCCCGTCCCCTCTCGTCTCGTTTCCTTCCCGTCCCGTCCCGTCCCGTCCCGTCCCGTCCCGTCCCGTCCCGTCCTTTCCCGTCGCGTCCCCTCACGTCCCATCAGGTCCCCCCCGTTCCCGTCCCGTCCCGTCGTGTCCAGTAGCGTCCCCTCCTGTCCTCTCCTCTCCTCTCCACTTCTCTCCTCTCCACTCCTCGTTGCATCCCACAGTATCCCTTCCTACCCTTTCCGGCTCCCCTTCACGCACCGTCCCACCCCTCCCCTTCTCGTCGCATCCCGGAGGTCCTTCTCACCCCTTACCTCCCTTCCAGTCCCTTCCCTCCCAACCGTCCCGCCACACCCCTTCGCGACTCTCCCCTTACCCTCGCATCACGCCCATCCCTTTCTCCTCGCTTCCAGCCATGTCGCGTCGCTTCCTGTAATGTCGCGTCGCTGCTTATCGAGTCCTAACCCTCGCCTTTCAGCCGCGTCGCTGCTTATCCAGTCCTAACCCTCGCCTTTCCGTCGCGTCGCTTCCTATCTCGTCCTAACCCTCGCCTTTCCGTCGCGTCGCTTCCTAACTCGTCCTAACTGCTGCCTTTCCGTCGCGTCGCTTCCAATCTCGTCCTAACTGCTGCCTTTCCGTCGCGTCGCTTCCTATCTCGTCCTAACTGCTGCCTTTCCGTCGTGTCCCTTCCGTCCAAATTCGACAGGGGGGAGCGTTACTGCAATACACCTTGGTCCAAATAGAGTGGTGCATCTTATTGCAATAATGAGGACCAGCTCTGGCGATGGACGGACTATACGTGCGTAAAAGCAAATGCAGGCGCGGAGTGACCAAAGATAAAAATAAACAACGACAACGAGAGGTACAAGGTATTGTCACGTTTGACGCTGGAATAAACCTAGGGAAAATAAGATGCTGAAATGAGACTTAGTCGCTAGAGAAATCGGTGCGAGTGTGTTTCTCCACCTACAACCTGTCTGGGTTTGCAGTCTCATATTTTTCCAGCTCTGTAATACGCTCGGTTGTGGGCTGTGCGTCCCATTCTCAGTCCGTCGCACATGCAGTTGCCTGTTTCTCGCAAACCCGGCTTGGTAGTCAGGCACCTGCCTCTACCAAACTGTTTGGTTTGCAGCCAATCACACCTGCGCCAAACCAAACGCGAGTGTTTTGCGAGTGATTGTTTGGTTACCCGGTTTCAAGCGTATTACCTTTGGTTGGAAACAAGAAATATGAGACGCGGGTTTTAATGTCTGGGCACTTACCCACTGCCCTGGCTTCGCTTTCCCGCCTCACGAATCTTAATTTGGAGGCCAACAATTTCTCGGGGGAAATTCCCCCGCAGATATCCCGGCTCGCTAAAACGCTCTTGAACTTAAATCTCGGGCAAAACTCCCTTTCGGGCAGCTTACCACCCGAGCTCGGGCAGCTGACAAACCTCGGTAACGGCCCATTCGTCGACCCATACCCCGGCCTGTACCTTCACCGAAACTTCCTTTCCGGCCCGCTGCCCGAATCCCTCTCGTCCCTCTCGGCCCTCCAAGCCCTAGACCTCTCTTTCAACAGCCTATCCGGCCCCATCCCTCAAGCAGGTTCCTTCTTCACGTCCTTAAACAACCTTCTCCTCCTGTCTTTATCCCACAACCAGCTCTCCGGTCCCCTGCCGCTGCAGAATGGCTGTGGCATGTCCATGTATCTTTTTCAGCTCGGTTCAAACCGGTTCACTGGTGGTCTTCCTGCTGACCTTTCGTCCTGCTACTTGCTTTACTCGCTCGACGTGTCGGGAAATTTACTTTCAGGGCAGCTGTCGCCGGGTTTCTTCACGTCCCTGGCAGGGACGTCGGTGGGGTGAACAATAGCTTAGAGGGTAATTTACCCTCGGAAATTGGCGATGTTGTGACGCTGGGCGTGTTGGATGCCAGCAGCAATCGGCTTTCCGGGAAGCTTCCAGAGCTGAAATCCTGCCCGTCGATGATTTACCTGGCGAACAATTCCTTCTCGGGCAGAATTCCAGCAGGGTTTATCTGCCCGTCCTTGTCAGCCCTAGACTTGAGCAACAACTCTTTGTCTGGGGACCTGCCCGAAATCCTTCTGGCCAACGCTAGGCCAGCCAAACAAAACCCACCACCATCGGCATCGGCAGCAGCAGCATCAACCATATCAGCAGTAGCAGCAGCAGAAGCAGGAGGAGGAGGAGGGGCAGGAGCAGGGGCAGCAGCAGCGCAACAGAAGGCACCAGCTTTCCAGTACCTTTCTCTGAGTCTCAACCGTCTCACTGGCCCTCTTCCCTTCCTAGGCGAATGCTCCTCCCTCACCACCCTCCTCCTAGACTCCAACCAGTTCTCAGGCCCCCTCCTCTTCCCCTCCCTCTCTCCCTGCCCCAAACTCCAATCCTTCAACGTCTCCCACAACTCCCTTACAGGCACGCTCGATACTATCACCTCGCAGCTTCGCACCTCCCCCATTTTCACCCTCGGCCTCGCAGGAAACCTCCTGGAAGGTCCCGTTCCGGCCGCCATGGGAAACCTGGCGTCAGCACGGGTTATTGACTTGTCCGACAATCGCCTCTCAGGTTCCCTCCCACCGACACTTAGCCAGCTGCAGGTGCTCCGCTCGCTAAGTGTCAGTGGGAATAACCTCTCCTCCACCCTCCCAGCAGAGCTCAGCGCCCTCTCCCTTCTCACCTCTCTCGACGTGAGCAGGAACGATTTCTCCGGCCCGATTCCCCCCCAACTAGCCCCTCCGTTCCTCCCCCGCCTCCTCTCCTTAAACCTCTCTCATAACCACTTTTTCGGTGCTATCCCCTATGGTTTCTCCACCACCAATACCTCTGCCACAGCCCTAGATTTCTCCTACAACGATCTTATGGGTTTAATCCCCTTTAACACCACCGGCACTGCCGACACCAGCCCCACTGGCACTTTTCTCTCTGCATCCGCGTTACAAGGCAACCCAGGACTCTGCGGGGGGTTCGGGTACCTCCCCTGCCCGACGCCACCCTACGAGAGCACAGGGGGGGTCTCGCCAGGAGCGATTGCAGGGATCGCGGTGGGCTGTGCGGCGTTTGTCACGGCGCTGCTGGTGCTGCTGGTGCTGCTGTGGCTGTGGCTGTTTGCGCGGCGCAGAGGGCCGAGTCTGGACGGGGGGACAATGCTGGTGTTTGAGAAGCTGGGCTTTAAGCTCACGGTGACCGATGTGGTGGATGCCACTGAAGACTTCAGCAACAAGTTCTTGCTGGGACGAGGAGGCTTTGGCTCTGTTTACAGGTGAGAACCGGCCGCCTGGTTGCAAGCGGTAATGAGCGGTAACAATTGGTTATGCATGGTGACGGCAATGTTCGTGTTTGACGGTGACAGATATGGTGGGTGCGACTGAAGACTTCAGCAACAAGTTCCTGCTGGGACGAGGCGGATTTGGCTCCGTCTACAGGTGAGAACCGACCGCCTGGTTGCAAGCGGTAGTGAGCGGTAACAATTGGTTATGCATGGTGACGGCAATGTTGGTGTTTGACGGTGACAGATATGGTGGATGCCACTGAAGACTTCAGTAATAAGTTGTTGCTGGGACGAGGAGGCTTTGGCTCCGTCTATTGGTGAGATCCGGCTGGTTGTGAGCGGTACCGAGAGGTATGAAGCGGTGACGAACGTATACACATGGTAACTAACTAGTGGGGCGATGCTGGTGTTTGAGAAGCTGGGATTTAAGCTGACGGTGGCAGATGTGGTGGGTGCCACTGAAGACTTTAGCAACAAGTTCCTGCTGGGACGAGGCGGCTTTGGCTCTGTCTACAGGTGAGAATCGCCTGGTAACGAGTAGTAAATAACGGTCACAAGCTGTATTACCCGTGCCCCAAGCCACATCCCTGTCCATCCCAATCCTGATTAATTTCTGCGGTTGTCCTTGTCCCTGCCCCTGCCCCTGCCCCTGGCTCCCTGGCCCCCTGCCCCCCTGCCTCTGCCCCTGCCCCTGTCCCTCCCCCACCCCCACCCCTCCCTACCTCCAAGCCCACCCTGCAGGACCGCAGGGCAGTGGCGATAAAGCGCCTGGCAATAGGCAGCAGCCAGGGGCAGCGGGAGTTTGACGTGCGCCACCGCAACCCCCTCGCCCCTCTTCCCTGTGCTCCTCTCAATCATTCCCGTCCCCCCTGCCCCTGCGCCCACCCCTGTCCCCGCCCCTGCCCATTTCCCTACCCCCTCCCCCATTCTCCCATACCCTGCACCCTTCCATGCCCCCGCTCCTCCCCTCCCCCAGGGCCACTCTGCAAGATGGAAGGTCAGTCGCCATAAAGCGCCTGGCACTAGGCAGCAGTCAGGGGCAGCGGGAGTTTGAAGCCGAAATGAACACCCTCGGCAACATGCACCACCGCGCAAACCACTCGCCCCTCGGCAATGCCCTCCCCTCACTCATTCCCGTCCCCGCTGCCTCTGCCCCTGCCCCTGCCCCTGCCCCTGCCCCTGCCCCTGCCCCTGCCCCTGCCTCATCTCCCCCTTTCCCATCCCCCTCCCTCTCCCCCAGAGCCACACTGCAGGACGGCAGGGCAGTGGCCATAAAGCGCCTGGCGTTGGGCAGCAGTCAGGGGCAACAGGAGTTTGAAGCCGAAAGGAACACCCTCGGCAACGTGCGCCACCGCAACCTGCTCGCCCCTCTCCCCTTCCCTCCTCTCACTCATTCCCGTCCCCCATGCCTCTGCCCCTGCCCCCCTGCCCCTTCCCCTACCCCCCCCCCTTCCCCCCCCCTCCTGCTCTCCCATATCCCCTCCTCCCCCATTCTCCCTCCCCCAGAGCCACACTGCAGGACGGTAGGGAAGTGGCCATAAAGCGCCTGGCACTGGGAAGCAGCCAGGGGCAGCGGGAGTTTGAATCCGAAATGAACACCCTCGGCAACGTGCGCCACCGCAACTTAGTCGTCCTAGTCGCCGCATACCTCTCCCCGCCGCCCGCCCAAGAGCGCCTCTTAATCTACGACCTCCTTCCGGGCGGCTCACTAGACCATGTCCATGTCTTAGCGCGCGAAATGGGCAAAGACTCGCCGATGCGACGCTGGGCTGTAAGGAGGAACATCTTAGAGGGTACAGCGCGAGCCCTCAAATACCTGCACCAGGATTGCACCCCAGGGATCATCCATAGAGATATGAAGCCCGCGAATATTCTCCTAGACGAGAATTTGGAGGCGAAAGTGGCTGATTTTGGGCTGGCAAGGGAGGCGGATGCGAGCAGGACTCATATGAGCACGAGCGTGTTTGGGACGGTGGGGTATTTGTCTCCGGAGTATTCGCAGCGGGGGCGGCTGTCGTTTAAGAGCGATGTGTTTGCGTTCGGAGTGCTGGTGCTGCAGGTTATTACTGGGAAGCTTCCGACGGACAGTGACGTGGCGGAACGAGGGCTCGCCAGGTAGGATGATGATGGTGGTGATGGGGATGATGGGGATGGGGATGATGGTGATGGGGATGGGGATGATGGTGATGGGGATGGGGATGATGGTGATGGGGATGGGGATGATGGTGATGGAGATGATGGTGATGAGGACTCATGCTGATGGGGATGATGGGGGTGATGATGAGGACGGCTCATGCTGATGGTGGTGGTGATGGTGATGGAGATGTTGATGAAACATGAGGATAGTGATTGAATAGGCCAAGGTAGGCTTGCTTCGTTCATGCTGCTGTTCTGTTCTTGACAAGGGTTTCGAATTCGAGTTGATAGGATTGATGGTGCATTGGTGCGAGTTACGCGCACCCGTTCATTCGTGTCTTCACTCCTCTTCCCCCACCTCCTCTTTATTGCACCCTCCTCCCTCCTCCCCCCTCCCTCCTCCATCTAGGTGGGTGGGGATGCACACTGTAGCCTCCTTCGTGGACGACAGGATAGACGACGCGTTGCTGTACGAGGATGAGATCATGGGCGTCGTCACTCTCGCCCTGCAGTGCACCCAGACCGTCCCCGCCGACCGCCCCTCCATGCCTGAGGCCCTCGAGGTGTTGGAGAATCTGCACGACTTTGCCAAGGGGATCCGCATGGGGATAGATGCCAAGGAGGTGGAGTGAGGGAGGAGTGAGTGAGGGGTGAGGGAGGGGTGAGGGAGGAAGACATGGGGAGGTGGAGTGGCAGAGGTGGAGTGTAGCAGGTTTAACCGTTTGGCTGAGGCATGGGGGATGTGGTGTGTGGCAAGTGGGCGTGTGGCGACAGATGCCGTATGTCCCTGAAGCCCTCGAGGTGTTGGAGAATCTGCACGACTTTGCCAAGGGGACCCGCATGGGGAAAGACGCCAAGGAGGTGGATTGAGGGAGGTGGGGTGAGGGAAGTGGAGTGAGGGAGGGAGGAATACATACGGTGAAAGGAGGGACAAAAGACAAGACAGCATGCTTGTGTGTGCTGTTACGGAGAAGCGGCATGTGCATGGGGCTTTGGAGGTGCTGGAGAGACGAATATGCATGGCTTTGCCATGGGGATTTGATGGGGATAGATGCGAAGGAGGTGGAGTGTAAAGAGGAGTTTTCTTGTGTGCTGACATGGCGTCTGAGCAGGGGAGGGGGGATGAGTAAATGGTTGGGGTTGTGGGAGATTCAGGTGGAGGGAGAAGGCCACTCCAACCATTCACCTGGGCATCGATGCACATGAGTTGGGTTGTGGAGGGGGGAGCAAAGACGGATTTTACAACTGAGATTGTAACGTTTTGCCTTAGAACAGTCTACCCCCCCCACCCCCCTTCCCCCCCGCTTTCCTCCTCCTCCCCCTCCCTCTCCCACACCTTCCCTCTCCACTGCTATTGCTCAACCAATTTTATGTCTATTTGTTTTTTTCCTGTCGTCAAGTCAATGCTAACTGAATGACAGATATGATGCAGACTGGTTGTGGAGTTGTTGGGCACACGTGGACTGCCTCGTAATAGTGGGTGTATAATTCTGTGTTGATTTTTGTTATCACATAGTGGATGTACAGCAGGGCCTCAGATAGGATTCAGGGGACCCTGACCCATCAGGGCAGGTCCCCCCAAAAAAAAAATTCGCCCTGATTGATCACTGCTGAGGTGCATTCAGGATCCTGATTTGTCAGGGTAAATACTAGTGTAATCCTGCCTTGTCAGGGTAAAAACTAGTGTAATCCTGATTTGTTAGGGTAAAAAACTACTTTCCCAAAGCTGTTATGCATGTGAAACATTTCCACGTCCTGACAACACACACACAAGTAATATAATAGTAACGGTTACTGTTGCATTTAGAAACTTCGGGCATACAATCATTATTCATATCCATCTAGCATCCTCCATCAGCACATCATCACCATCACTAAATCCTCCTGCAACATCATCATCTGAGTCATGGCCGCCACCGCCATGGTCGGCCTTCTCCTGCTGCCTGTCACTGCTGTTGCCTTTGCCACCATCAGCTGCACCACCGCCACCACCAGGGCCTCAGATATCAGGGTAAAAGATCTTGAATGCCCTGATTTCAGGATCTGCATGGTGCCCCTGGACTGAAATTTCAGTATTTGTATAAAAACCGGCCTGACAAATCAGTATTTATAGGATTTTGCATCCTGTGATCTCAGGATTTAAAAGTACCCCGAGCCCTGATCCATCAGGATCCTATTGGAAAGTACCCTGAATCAGCCTGTACCGCGAAAAAAAAATCGATGACTAGATACAAAACCACTGTCAGAGGTACAGCGCAACATGCGAGATGTGCGGTGGGAAATGATGAATTCTGCACCGCTGTACAGATTTTTTCGCGCGTGGCTGTACAGCGACACATCAAAGTTGCCATCTAGACCAATCAGGACCCGCCGCAGCAAGGAACCCACGCGGCACGCGGCAACTTTGCCACGCTTGCCTGAAACCTTAGCATGCGCTACCTCCCTGGCCATCAAAGGCGGGTACAGGCTCTCGGCCAACCTCGTCCACACCTCAGGTCACGACGGGGCGCCATGGCGCATGACCGTGGAACTCTCCATAATAAGGGTTGCCGTTCCATCTCCTCCTCTTCTCGCCAGCAGTTCATCCCTTTGTTGATGCAGGGCGAAACCTGATGTACATTCATTCTTGTTAGTCTTTTTCCGCCCGCATTTTGCTACCTCCTCGACAGCGTATCTCACACGTTGTTTCCGAAGCAGAAATCGCCTATGGCTTCACCGTCGCACAGGGCGTCGGTGAAGCCCCCGCCATGCCTGACAAACCCGTAACTATTCAGCCCTTAACGGGCCTCGATTTCCTTCGTTTTGCGCCAGTCGTTCCCTCGCCAATAGTACCCTCGATAGCCCTTCCATCGCCAGCGGAACCGTCGCCGTCAGTACCATCGCCAGCAGAACCTCCGCCAGCGACTCCTTCGCCACCAATACCTCCGCCATCGGCTCCGTCGCCAGCAGACCCTTCGCCTGCAGTTCCGTCAGGTCCAGTCACTGAGGTTGTCGTCGACAACTCGGACCTCCCACCGCCGATTCGAACACGGGGCAAATGCTCGCGTGCAGCCGTGCAAGGGTCTGTCCGTGTGGGACCCCCTTCCAAGAAGCTTGCAAATCCACGCTACCACCAGACCAAGATCTCTTTCGAGCGCACATCCATGGCACCACCCAGGCAAGATCAAACCCAACCCACCGAGGCTACACGGACCGTTCTCTTATCAACCAGCCCCTCTGCTTCAGCCGACACAGTGTTGCCCGACATCGCTGAGAATCTTTACCAGGAAGCGCTTTTCAATTTCAAGAAGTCCTGGACTACTGATTTTCCTTGGCTTGTAATTTGCCAGACGTCTTACGGGTTTCCTTCTATGAAGTGTACCATCTGTATGGAGTATGGTGGCGCAGGGACGAATTTCGCGAGGGGTGAAGGGGCTACAGATGTGCAGACACAAGCCATGCGGCTTCACCAGCGGTCCGGGAAGCACAAGGATGCGCTTCACAATCAGGAGTTAGCTCTGGCGAAGGTCAAGAGCCAACAGCGAATCGAGGATCTCCCTCAAGCACGGGATCTAGAGCACGAGCAAGTGCAGGCTCTGTTGGAGACACTCTTCTTCATCGCCAAGACTGACGCACCAATCGATATGTGGGTGCAGCTTGTTCGGCATCTAGCTAGCCGTGGCACTCTGGGCTTCCCCAAAAGTGGCTACGGCTCGTACTATACCACGTAAGAGTGGGTTTTACTGCTCTTAGTTCTGGTGATTATCGTGTTGTGTTTCCGTATAACCTTAACCTGGTGTTGTCCTTCCTTGCAGGTACGGATTCCAGGAGCTTGTCGTAGCATCAGCGACCTACCTCCACGGCCAACAGCGCGAGTACATCGACTCAAGCCTGTTTATCGGGTTGAGCTGCGATGAGAGCACCGATCGTGTGCGCGGGAAACACATGATTGTGTTTGTGACTTTCTTGCGAGATGGCTTGGTTGTCACGGAATTTCTAACTCTACTCACTGTTGACAAGGGTGACGCAGGGTCCCTCTTTGGTGTCCTCACCGCGTACTTGGAGAGCGTCAACATCGAGCTGAGCAAGATCGCGGGAATCAGCACCGATGGCGCCATGGTGATGATTGGCGGGAGTACTGGTCTTGCCGCGCGGCTTCGCCTAACCGTTCCCCATCTGGTGTCAACTCACTGCATCGCACATCAGTATATCTCGTTTACCTATGAATGTTGTTGTTGTATATTATGTTTTGCATTCGCTAATTCCTGCGTGACATGCCCGCCCCTTTGGCAGGGAAGCTCTCGCTGCCAAAGACTCTTCGACCGCCCTGCCTGAACTCGGCCTCGTCGACTCCGTCATTCGTGCAGTTGCCGAACATCTCGGATGCTCCAGCAACTCTCACAAGACTTTCTTTGAACTGCAGAAGGTTTTCTCGCAGGCGAACCTCGAGGTTCAGGGCATCCATGCCGTGCGGTGGTTGAGCCGCGGTGACGCCATCGCCCGTTTCGTGAAGGTTTTCCCAGCGGTGGTGGTCCTGCTTGAGCGGCTGGACCCCACGATGTACCTGGTGGTGACATCTCTGAAGATCCATTTCTTCCTCTATTTCCTTGCAGACATTCACGTCGAGCTGAACATGCTCAACCTAATCTTCCAGAAGCGCGAGGTAATATGCTGTCAGCGATTACGTGTGTATGCCTGTGCTTCTCTGTGCTTATTCTCCTCTCTGCTGTGCTATCCCTACCCTGCCCCCCCCCCCCCCCCCCCACCCCCAACCTGCAGGTGGACTTCATGGCTGTGCAATCCCAGGTGCGGCGGATCCTCGTGTTCCTCCAGGAGCGTTACATCGATTGCGGTCAACAATTCGGGGGCGGTGCAAGCGCGAAGCTGTCGTCGTTTCTCGCGTGGCACAGCTCGCCGTGCAGCCGGGACGTGCGTGTGCAAGGCGTGGACGGTGATCGTCAGCCATGCACTCACGAGTTCACTCTGCACGAGACAGCTGTTCCGGGCTACACCACCAGCGCGGGAGACATCCAGTCGTGCACGCGGACATGTCGGTCGTTCGCGACAGAGTTAATCTACAATATTAACTTCCGCCTCGGCAGTCTGTCAACCCTCAACTCTGCTAAGCTCTTCATGCCACGCACCTGGCCTCGGGGAAGAGAGGCGAGAGACGCGGAGTGCCTTGAGCATCTGGACGGCCTCTATACCATGTTCCACGCGCGCGAGCGAGAGGAAGTTCTACCAGGTGAGTTAACCCCCCCCCCGAATTCGTCTTTGTGGTTTGCTCCGGTATACGATTTTGTTGTATGTGTCAGTAAGCGTGATATGGCCCCTTGAGTTGCACTACGGTCCCTTGCTATCCATCACCCGTCCCTTCTGCCAGGTGTGACGAAGCGGGAGTGCAAAAGGGAGATGCGAACCTTCTTGTCGGTTCTATCCGGGGCGTCGAAGGGAAGCAGGCCTTCCATGCGGGCCTGAAGGCGATGATGGTCACTGCAGACTGGCCGAGGAGCTACCCCAACCTAGTGCGGCTATGGGTAGCAGTGGCGGTGTTGCCGATCAGCACTGTGGAGTGCGAACGCGGCTTCTCCCGACAAAACATCATGAAGAGTTGGCAGCGGACGGGATTGCACGACGCGAAGCTTGGTGATCTCATGACGCTGAGCTTGCTGGAGTACGACGTCGAGTGGAAAGACCTTGTGGAGCTGTGGCGCAGCACGAAAAAGCGCCGCCCAACCAAGCGTAAGAGCAATCCCCCTGATGCCGCGAAGAAGCGTGGTGGTGGTGGTGCAGCTGATGGTGGCAAAGGCAACGGCAGTGACAGGCAGCAGGAGAAGGCCGACCATGGCGGTGGCGGCCATGACTCAGATGATGATGTTGCAGGAGGATTT